AAATGGGCGTACTATTTCGTATCACTATTTTATCAAATTTCTCATAAAATAATGGTCGGATTTTTAATATCTTTGCAACTTTTAATAGTACACACCGTATTACATAGGATACGCGTAACGTGGCTGCTGTAAAACTTGTAGTAAAAAAGCGTTACAAATTGTAACCGAAATCCACTTGTGGCAGTGGTAGATTGAGCCTATGAGCGAGAGCGCCATCTGTCGTGGAGTTTGATTGAGCCTATGAGCGAGAGCGCCATCTGTCGTGGAGTTTGATTGAGCCTATGAGCGAGAGCGCCATCTGTCGTGGAGTTTGCGATGCCTCTCTTAAATAATGATACGGCGCCCGATTGACGTGACACTAACCAGAGAGACATGATACAAGATTGCGTAGCACAGCGTTGCTGTTGATCGTAAGCGCTGCGCGCGGATGAGACGCGCAGTTCCGCGGAATATGCGCACGCGACCGCGGGGACGTTCAAGTATGAAGCGCTGTTCGCAGTGGAGACGTGCGCCAAATTGGAGGCCCGGCGCACGTCTCCCTAGCGGTCAGCGGATGGTCTGTACTTTTCGAGGATGACAATGATTATAATATATGAACGATATTGTCGAAATTTGAGATTATAAAACAATAACATAAATCGCTGAGTGATGCTCCAGATTAGCTGAATAAAAACGATTATAATTTAATATGAACAAAACGAATACAATGCTACCATACTACCATTTTGCGCACCAGTCACCTTCTCAGTTCTCACTGTTGTCTCTCTACATGTACACATGGTTCACCAGTCACTACTTCTAGATTGCTTATTGTTTTGTTACTCTGTAATAAACATACAGTATGAACCACGTTATCTTTTCGTTTGGATGCAAATAAATGATTCTTTATATAAAATACCACTGTGCAGTTGTTGTTGTTTTTTTCTGTCTGAAAATAAGAAAGTACACGGTTAATTTGTCAGTCTCACAGAGATGTGTACCTGTGAGGTTGTGACATGACATCACATCTGTGAGCATATAGTTTATCATTGACTATCATTCATAGTTCCAACAGACAATGTATGAAGGCAACTGTCACCACGTTATATCCAATCCGGCAAGGCATTGGGTAGAAATGAGAAACCGTAATATCAAGGCTATGCTGCAATCATGTCACAGAAGACCATAGAACTTGGCACATTCACTTATCCGACTTACAATTTGCTTCGAACTGTGCGAGACATGACCCTACCTGGGATAATGTATGTAATTAATGCATGTAAATACGTCAGAGGAGATGCGTAACACAACAGGGGAAGAAACGAGTATCCTGCCAGTTATGCGCGAACAGCTGCTGTTGTGCTATGAGCAATGGTAGCAACAACAAATACCCAACGCTGTTAGAAGTGTACGTAGTGCGTTGTGCATGTAGTATGTTAGACATTACACACTCTCCGCCGGGACTCTGCTTCGAAGGAGGAGAGAATGTAAGGGTCAACACCGCCACATACGCATCGAAGCCATTCCACAGAATTTACATACAGGCTTCGACTCGGGATTCACTGGAAGCCTGACAAGGCCACGGCAGTGGACGTAAGCCTATATAAGGACCGCCCGGGGTTGACTCGGGGCGCTTCATTCCACCAGACGACGAGGAGAACCGTTCGCGTAAGGATCAAACGTTACAATACTTATACGTACTATAGGAGATTGGAGCGAAATGTTGTCCCGCTATATTTTGACCGGACGAAGCGAGCAGGCAACCGCAATTGTCAATGCTGAAGACGTAAAGACTTTAGCAGTGAGCGAGCTTGACAAGAACTTTGTTGCTGATAATACGAGAGTTATCGAACATATCCTGCGAATCAAGAAAAAGTGTACACGGCAAGAAAAAGGCAGTGACAAAGGAGACGACAGGTCCTGGCAAAGTCATGAAGTTGGAGCAGCCGTACGATAGGCTGGTGTTGTGTCGGTAAGCATGTGCGCGTAAACGTCATAATGCGTGATTTAGTCGAAATTGGTAGAGGCGTAAAAAATAGCCTGTTGTTCTGCGTGGTGTAGTGCGTCAGTTCGATGTGTCAATTGAAAAGGAATGTTCTGTATTAAAAAGACGTGCAGTTGAGTTTATTGTTGATTGGTAAGGAATTTTGCACAAGGGAGAGATAGTGATCCGGTACAGGGCGCGTTAAGCGCTAACAAAAACGGCTGTGATCGGCTATTTTTGTGTCTTATTTATTTTAATTTTTATTATTTTTGGCTAATTTTGTTTTATTTTAGATTTAGGGATAGGGTTAGGATTACGGTTAGGGTTAGGGTTAACTGATTTCTATATGCACAACTTCTGATGACTATCTCTCCCCTGAGACCTACTAATTGCTAATTGTAACACATTTGTGCATTTCAGCGATATCAGAGATGGCACATTGTTTATGATCGTGTGCAAGGACGAAAGACAAGCGATACAGCTCTTTTTAATGAAGGATTGTAGGTGGGTCGGCATGTGCGTATGCCTGTTTGAACCCGAATTCGAGTTCAGAATAGCAGGCATGCCGGCACTCAGCACCGAGCATCCACTGCTGCCCTTGAGGGAGCACGACTTGGGTGATGTGGTGGCACCCTACGAGATGGAGTGGGCCATGAGTGGAGCGACGAAGGCCCTTTATGTACGTGGTGCAGACCTGAGGCAGCAGCACGTGAACATCGTAGAGGGCTGTGCAGCAGCCATGTGTGACAACCAGCATGGCGTGACGGAACGGTGTTGTGCGCTGACGTCGGCAATACCGAACAAGCTCATATTGAGATGCATAGTCTCGTCAAAGGAAGCCGGCATCGTGACAGCAAAATTTCAATCTACCGCATTGACGCTCATCATGATGGAAGAGGATTGTACAACGGTACGTTCATGCACAGACCCAGTGAAAAAAAGCAATATGGAAGTGTTAAAATATGCGGGTGGTAAGCATATCGATGCTATTTGCATGGCAATTGAACTCATAGAAAGTACTTGGTGCATAGAATGCCTTTGAACTAATTGAAATTGGCCAAATGTCACATTAAAAAATGATTGAAACAAATGCTAATTGCATACTTACAGAGGAAATATGGACATTTATGACAATCCAACCCAGAGTGTAAGAAGATATGATACATATGCGCACATGTAGAATTCTAGCGTGGTGATATATTGAAATGGAAGTCGCAAAATGGGAAACGTCTGATTTATTCGGCCGGTATAATATATAGGCAGGATAAAAAAACGTTTCAAAGCAAATAGACCGAAATAGATGCTCATGTGACGCGTCTGCTTCATTCGTGTAAATGATTTGCCTTGCTAATGCTAGCGATATTTGATGAGATTATCCACATATTTGTCAACTGTAATGTATTTAATAACATGTATAATGTTTTGTAATAATTGTATAAACAAGTATAGACATAATGTTTGTGAGATGTGGTGTTTGAGAGAAAAGCTGCTGAATGTAACTAAGGTGTGTGGAAATAATATTATTATGGTTGTATATATATTTTGTATGCAGGTCAATGCAGGTGACCTGTTGGATTACGTGCAAGTGAGAAGGGCGTGCCAGCAAGTGTTGGAGTTCTACGCAGAAGCACAAATAGGCTGGACCATCTGCGGTTGGTTCAAACCCGGCATGGCTGTAGGTGCTGAAGTGACTAAAAAACCACGCATGCATGTCACAAGCATGTGTCCGGACAGGCTGATAGCAGATGCTCCACGCTACCGATGTCCAGCACGACCTGTAGCTGCCGAGCGGCATTTGCAGCTATAGCCTTTCCGAGGCGAGCACAAGGGGCAGCAGCACAAGCGAATGTGGGCATGGGGCAGAATGAGGAAGAAGAAGTGAATGTCGGAGAAGCAGGAAATCAGGGAGCGAGAGCTAATTAGTGAGGAAGAGAAACTTCGGGGAAATGAATGAGGCAGGAGCCAGTGCAGGCGAAAATTGTGAGGGAGTGATTTCGAGGAATAGTGTTTGATTTGTGTGTGCGTGCGCGCACAGCTGTGAGCGAGTGTGTCTGCGTGTAGAAATATGCATTTTCAATAGCACAGTGTCTAGTTAGTTAGTGTCTTGTACGTTTATCTGATGTGAGTCGGTGTTAGATGCAGACAGCAGGTGTAGGAGCAAGTGTTTGTCAGTGCGTTAGTTAGTCAGTCAGTGGTTGTGTGCATCAGTCAGGTCAAGATCAGGTGTGTGTGTGTGTGTGTGTGGTACTTAGTAATTGTACGAGTAGCGGAGGATCTCACTGAAGTTGATGTTCGTTGTCCTAGGGTGTCTAGAAATAAAAGAAAAAGAGAAGCAGCATGTGAAGCAGTATTTGAGTGTTTTTATTCTTCGCACACATATTGGTAATCACACGTTTATGCTTGCATGTTGTAAATGAAACAAACATGTGAAAATTGGCAAAAGACATAAGCTAATTAGTCGAGAATTTAACGAGAAGGTCTCTCTCTCTCTCACTGTCGCTCGCTCTGCCTGTCTGTCTCGCTCTCGCTCTCTCTCTTTCTCTCCATCTCCATCTCTCTCACTCTCTCTCTCCCTTCTTCACTCGCTCTCTTTCGCTCGCTGTCCGTCTCTCGCTCTCAATCTCTCTTTTTCTCACTCTCTCTCTATCTCTCTCTCTCACTCTTTATTTGCTCGCTGTCTGTCTCTCGCTCTCTATCTATCTCTATCTCTCTCTTTCTCACTCGCTCTCTATCTCTCGTGCTCTCTCTCACTCTCTCTCTTTTGTATCTCTCAGAACTCTGACGACTATTCACAGAAATACGAGACATTCACGAAGAGAAAGGGATTGCAATCTCTCATTGAGAGTTGTGGTGAGGGGGAGGGGAGGGGTGAAGGAAGGAGTAACACGGGTTGGCCACATAGAAATAATATACTACTATTTCTGTCTCTATATATTTCTATGGTTGGCTCGGCCATCGATACAAATGAACTAGCGAGATCTTGCACAAGAGCAATTATATTATATTTATAGATATTTCTTCACAGACAGGGTAGCGGTCCCTCCTCTTTATTTCAAGGTGGTACGACGGCATACATAAGAGTGGGATATTTTAAAGGGTTGTTACAGGATAGTACTGATTTGCGTGACGCGTGTTCACAGAGCCAAGCTGCTCTTACAGTTCTGTTACAGTCTGACAGTTTGAGATGTACTTTCTGCTTAGATCTGTACGACATCTCTCTACAATTATTATGAATTGTCATGCGTGATTATATGATGTCTTCAGAGCGAAAGCTTCACGTTAAATATTACATTTAAATAATTTTTTCGTTTGTCTTTTTCTTCTTCGGTTTCTCTCCAGTGTGAGTTCTCATATGTGTCTTCATATTACCCGATTTTGAAAATGCAGCATCACACAGCTCGCACTTATATGGTTTCTCCCCCGTGTGAGTTCTCATGTGTGACTTCACATTACTCAGGAAGGAGAAGGCAGCATCACACAGTTCGCACTTATACGGTCTCTCTCCCGTGTGAGTTCTCATATGTGTCTTCACATAACCCGAATACGAGAATGCAGCATCACACAGCTCACACTTATACGGTTTCTCTCCCGTGTGAGTTCTCATGTGTCTCCTCACATGACTCAGACGGGAGAAGGCAGCATCACACAGTTTGCATTTGTACGGTTTCTCTCCCGTGTGAGTTCTCATGTGTGTCTTCACATGACCCAGGCAGGAGAAGGCAGCATCACACAGATCGCACTTAAACGGTTTCTCTCCCGTGTGAGTTCTCACAAATTCCATCGTGCTTCGGAGTTAGCTGCCACTCACTGGTCACATGCGCAGGGTTTCTCCTCTAGTGTTCGAGTTGTGACTACC